ATAGGTCAGAGTACAGTAAAACCTGAAAATACAAACTGTTCCTGATAGTGCATGATTGAACCTAGAAGGCCCAAATGTGGCAAGCATAGTTAGGCTAGGTAAAATAAGAATCCTGCCCAGTATGTAATAAATTAGGCCCAAACTAACTCTAACCCTATTCCTATCCCTAACCCTAAGCCTAACCCAAACACTAACCCTAACCTTATTAGAGAACCATTGATCCTAGGAGTCCCAAACATGGGGAGCCTAGTGGGTCAGGCAAACAGTTGAATTTTGGTCAGTATCAAAGAAATCTTACCAAATAATTGGGGGAGGTATTTCAGTAAATGAGTATTTCCCTGTTGTATGTTAGAATGTTCTGGGACAAAGTTCTTTTTGGGTGCTTCAGGTTAGGGCTACTTCAACAAGAATCAAACAAGACAATGTGCATTGAGAACTGATTGAGTGTGTAAAGTTTCCAGCAGCTAGCACAAACCCTGTTTGATTTCCACCTTGATATCCATTCACCCATATAGGTCACAATGCAGTGAAACCTGAAAATACAAACTGCTCCTGACAGCGATCCTTTGAACCTAGAAGGCCCAAACTTGGTGAGCATAATTAGGCTAGGTAAAATGTAAATCCTGCCTAGTATCAAAGAAATTAGACAAAAACTAACTCTAACCCTAATACTAGCTCTAACCCTAGCCCTAGCCCTAACCCTAACACTAACACTAACCCTAGTCTGAATAGAGAACCATAGATCCTAGGAGTCCCAAACTTGGGGAGCCTAGTGGGGAAAATGAACAGAAGAATCCYGCACAATATCAAAGAAATCTGACCAAATACTTGGGGGGGGGCAGTATTTCAGTAAATGTGCATTTTCCTGTTTTCTCCTAGAGTGCTCTTGGATAAAGTTGTTTTTGTGTGCTTCAGCTTAGGGCTCCATCAAAAAGAAAGAAACCACACTATGCACACTGAGAACTGATTGAGAGTGTGAATCTTCAAGCAGCTAGTACAAACCCTGTTTGATTTCCAGTTTGAATTCCATTCACCCATATAGGTTAGAGTGCAGTGAAACCTGAAAATACAAACTGTTCCTGACAGTGCACAGTTGAACCTAGAAGGCCCACACTTGGAAAGCATAGTTAGGCTAGATAAAATATGAACCCCACCCAGTATCAAATAAATTAGACCAAAACTAATGCTGTCTCTAGCACTAGCTCTAACCCTATCTCTAACCCTAAAAATAACCCTAACCTGATTAGACAACTGTTGATCCTAGGAGTCCCAATGTTGGGGAGCCTAGTGGGAAATGCAAACAGATGAATCCTGTGCAGTATCAAAGAAATCTGACCAAATAATTGGGGGAGGTATTTCAGTAAATGGGTATTTCCTTGTTGTCTCCTAGAGTGTGCTCAGATATAGTTGTTTTTGCATGCTTCAGCTTAGGGCTACTTCAACAAGAAAAAAAAAAAAAAACAGACAATGCGCACTGAGAGCTGATTGAGTTTGTGAAGTTTCAAGTAACTAAAACAAACCCTGTTTGATTTCCAGCTCTATCTCCATTCATCCATATAGGTCACAATGCAGTGAAACCTGAAAATACAAACTGTTCCTAATAGTGAACCATTGAACCTAAAAGGCCCAAACATGGTGAGAATAGTTAGGATAAGTAAAAGATGAATCCTGTACAGTATCAAAGAAATTAGATCAAAACTAACACTTACCCTAACACCAGGTTCCACCCTGCCACTGGCCGACCCCTGCTGCAACTCAAGCTCTGCCCAGGAACTGGGCCCCAGGGAAGGCCCAAGTTCTACCCGCCACCTGCTGAAGTCAGCTCAGCCCAGGAATGCCTCCACTCATCCACACACAACCTTGGGAGCTGAGGATCCATCCTTATCTGCTAGGACAACCTGTGGCGCAAGCCCAGGCACAGGATAGCCACAGGTCCGTCCCACAACCACCACCTGCCGACCACTGCCAGAACTCAGGCTTGGCCCAGATCTGCCTTGCCAACCTACAATGGAGACAGGCTCAGTAGAGCTCTGTGTTTCTCCTGCCACAACAGAACCCAGCCTGAGTCTAGGCTCTGCCCAGAACCGTTCTGTCCATGGGCAGACACCTGTTGGACCCTTGGAAAACTTTGGACTTTGATTGCAAATTGAGAAGAAGAACCAGAATTCTCCAGTCGGCAAAGGGCTCTCTGCAAGGGGGAAAAACTGTTGCCAGTTGCTAGAGATGCTCTTTGGGGATGCTCCTGTGGGTGTCTGCACAGCTCACCCCAGCTTAATCACAGACAGAGCTCATCCAAGTCAATAAGGAGAAAAAAAACAGCAGAAAAAAATGGGAAAACCCAATATCTGCTGTTTATAAAAGATGACATACCAAACATTGAGATGACTTTCCACAATACAATCCACAGTAAGCATAAAGTCATCCAAAATACAATCATCCACAGTAAACATAAAGTACATGTGTGTTTTTGCCTAACAAATATAAAGAATAAAGAGAGTGAGAAAAATCTAATGTCATCGTGTTGGAAAATGGAATTGTCATGCTCTGAGAGCTGCAATACAAAATGTTCATAACTCTTCTGCAGAGAAGTTTCAGAAAATAGGCCAAAATTGAAAGTGCATGCCTATCTTTAGCCCAAGAATTTCAATTTAAGTAAGTTATTCATTGTTATCGTGTCAAATTTCTAAATTTTACCCTGAAGTTGTCCATTGTAATCATTTTGCATGCATATATATAATCTATTTTTATTATTGTTTCTTTGAGGGGGTGTAGTTGGACACAATGCCTTTATTTTACTCCTTAATTTTTCTGTGGTGCTGAGGATCAAACCCAGGGTCCCTCCCATGCTAGCCAAATACTCTAACACTGATCTACAACCCCAGCCCATCTAGTGTTTTATTTCTTAGAAAGTACTTTTTACATATCTGTACACATAACCTTATATAATTATGGCTCAGACACATTTTTCAAAAAGCTACCACATGACCTGGGACTGTAGCTCTGAAGTAGCACACTTTCCTGGCTTGTCCGAGGCACTGTGTTCCATTATCAGCACCATTTATAAATATACAAGGGCAGCAGGAGAAGAAGCATGAKTGCCTTAGATTGTGGAAAAGGATCCATGGGGTATTCTTATATCTAAACATACCCCTAAACAGGATAAATGTGTGCCAGTGACCTGCCCTGAGAGGTTTGGCTCCTAGAAAACTCTCAAGCTGATGACTTCTGGTGTGACAGAGAGCCCTATCCAGGTTCCCAGGTCTTTCCTTGAAACAAATGTTACCCTTCAAGTGTTGGGCACAGACATGTCATATCTTTATCAGCCTGGCTGGATGTGACCCTCCAMAAAGGCTCTCTCTCTCTCTCTGCCCCCTATCCTGGGTATTGTTTACTGGAGTGAGCAGCAGCCAGTTTCTCTGCAGCTTGTGAAGCAGGGGACCACAGACAGCTGGTATGGTTATGGGGGCAGGGTGGGAGGGAGGCTAGGTTTCSTGGTACTGWCATTGCCACTGGGKCTTTGATTTGTGGGMGTGGCAARRGACRCTGRGGTGCCTYCACCTTAGAGCCATAATAAAAATATTATTCYTTRGTAACCCATTMTGTACAGAATACACTAAATTATTTTCTAAATCCCAGTCCTTTGGTAAATAGGATTTGTTTTTCACTGATGCTCTTATGACTTTTTGAGCCTTATAGTTTTAACTTATTGACTAAACATGACCTAGTGGTTTAAATTGTTTATAGTTCATGCCATTGGTACAAAAAAAATTCTAAGAATTGAGCTACTTTGAAAGTGAATTGTCTTGCCTTATTAAGTCCTATAAAAAGTCAATGTCTTTTCAGAGTTTGGGTATCACTGTCAAAACAATTATGCATGTCAAGGACAATATTTATTCTCTTTCTTCAGCTTGCCCAGTAGCCAAGTCTGGTTTACTCAGACAACATCTACTAAGTAATTACCTGTATATCTCAGTGACAGCTGGTCATTTAGTGCTCATCTTCCCCCCAGAATCTCCAGATCTGTGAGTTGAGCAGATCTCCTGTTACAGATTAGCCTTAAATGCAAACACCGTGCTATCCATGGCTTTTTTCTTGTCTCAATGTACTTTAAGAGTTGATAGTKTAATCCTGTGTTTTCTAACCAGAAGATTCAGAGAACCTGAATCAGTTATACATCCAAACAACTGAATGTAAAACACCTTTAGCCAACTGTTGAATTCCATGCACCTGTTTATTTCCAGTATCTTTCTGTAAAATAGGCAAATATTGTTTGCATGACTGTTTCATATTCTCCCAGGAACTCTACTGTTTCAGAGGGCTGTGGTTCTAGCTGTGTTGTTGGCAGTGTTGCCTCAGCCCTTATCCTCAAATAATAGAGTGTTGTGAATTTGTTTCATCTGATGTATATTTCTGTAGGAAAGAGTAGAAGAAAGAGGTGGAAGGCATAGATGATCTAGCTTGGAGAAAAAAATAAATAACTGTATTAGTAGCTATTTTTGTCACCCAAACTTGGGATGAAATATTTCCTGCACCCAACTCCTGATATAAACAGTTGTGCTATCTCTAGCTTTATTTTTCTCCTTTTTGTGGGAAAAGAAACTTTACCTTATGTACAAATGCATTAACACCATTTACTTAAGGCCATAGAGCACTATTTGCCTCCTTTTACTATTTATAGAATTCCTTTTTTCACATCACTTTTCATAAAAACTAACTGTAGAAATAAACACATTAAAATTTCCCCAGCTATCATCTAAGCCCTCTTGATTGACTTGGCCATGTGGCAGTAGAGTTCTAATATCTGTAATAAAGTGATTTACTACTATAGTTGAAAAGTGTTGCCCCTATAAGGAAACAATATGTGCCTTTCCCTCTTGATGCACATTAGATTATAGAGACCCAGAGTAAAGAAATATTTGTATCAAATTTTTAAAATAGAATGCAAAAGCAAATTCTTGAAGAGTGATGTTTTTCCTTAAACAGAAAATATGGACCGAAACATGTCTGTGTTGGACGTACTTTGGGAAGACCGGGACGTCCGTTTCGACGTGTCCTCGCAACAAATGAAAACCAGACCTGGGGAAGTCCTTATTGATTGCTTAGATTCAATTGAAGATACCAAAGGAAATAATGGAGATAGAGTTTGAAAATGACCAAGTTAAGACATCAAGTTCAGGAGCCCCAATTTTAAAACTGAAGACTCTTAGTAACAAATTTAAGAATTATCTGGCACTCTTTGGCATTGCCCAGAGTCAATCTTTCTATCAGTTACAACTGCATATTGAATATTACAACAAGGACTGCTAACTCTAAATTACGAGGTCAAACTGAAGCTCTTTTTATACTAACAAAGTGTAACAGCACTCGCTTTGAATTTATATTCACAAATTTGGTTCCTGGAAGCCCTAGACTTTTTACTTCTGTGATTGCAGTACATAGAGCATATGAAACTTCTAAAATGTATCGTGATTTTAAATTGAGAAGTGCGCTAATTCAAAACAAACAACTAAGATCATTACCACAAGAACATGTATATGACAAAATCAATGGAGTATGGAACTTATCCAGTGATCAGGGAAATCTAGGAACCTTTTTTATTACCAATGTGAGAATCGTGTGGCATGCAAATATGAATGATAGTTTTAATGTCAGTATACCATATTTGCAAATTCATTCGATAAAGATTAGAGATTCAAAATTTGGTTTAGCTCTTGTCATAGAAAGCTCTCAACAGAGTGGAAGATATGTTCTTGGCTTTAAAATAGATCCTGTGGAAAAACTACAGGAATCAGTTAAAGAAATCAAATCACTTCACAAAGTCTATTCTGCCAGTCCTATATTTGGAGTGGATTATGAAATGGAAGAAAAGCCACAGCCCCTTGAAGCTCTGACAGTTGAACAAATTCAAGATGATGTAGAAATAGATGCTGATGATCACACAGATGCTTTTGTGGCTTATTTCGCTGATGGCAATAAGCAACAGGATCGTGAACCTGTATTTTCGGAAGAACTGGGGCTTGCAACAGAGAAATTGAAGGATGGATTCACACTACAGGGACTTTGGGAAGTAATGAGTTGATCTTGAGTTGAGCTGGATTTCTATTTAAAGATATCTCAAGATTATAGATATTGGTCGCCTACTATAAGGCATGGAATAGTTTTTATATTTACAGCTTTTATATTTAAAGCTTTTAAGAGAGTTTTTTAATGATTAAGAAAAAATATTTTTAGAAAATTGTTTTCTAAAAATTATATCTAAAATTGTAATTGAAATGTATCTAGCTTGTAAAATGTTTATTTTGTATCTAATACTTGTATAAGTTTCCAGATTTTAAATGACTGTATTATGTTGGGTTTAATAAAGAATTTATGCAGCACCAAAAATAAAAAATAAAATAAACAGAAAATATGAAACCCCACATGCTACTGAAAACCTGTTGTAAAACCTGACCCAGACATAATACCGTGCATTTCCTCGAAGGCTGCAAAAATTACCTTATTGTAGTTTTCCTGGCAGTGTGGGTTAAAAAGCCTTGAGGCAAACTGAAGCAGCTATTCAGGCCTTTCAGTTTGAAATAAATTATAGGTATGCAAATGATGATTTTCTTAGAAAACTTCACTAAATAAAAYTTATTCATAGCACAATAATGTGTGTGATTATCAGTCACATATTCTTGTGAATTACATTGTAGCAAAAAGTTGATTAATATAAAGGCTTCTTAATAGTATTGTAAGTGTTGTACCTGTTACAAGGCAATCTGAAGTACATTAACCTACAGAAACACATCCTGGAAATTGAACACTAATGAAGAATCATGAAAGACTTAATTACAAAAAAAAGTGTTAACATTCTCAATAATAAGCAATTTGTAAGAAAATAAATCATTCCAGGCCAAAATGGCAATATAAGTTTTTGTGGTTTAGTTTAATGAGAAAAAGAAAACTTTTCGTTCACTAATAAATTCTGAGTGAATTAATGGTGAAAAAAATGTAATATTTTAATGAGACACTACATAGAGAATATGCTCATTACAAAGTAAATGTGGTGCAAAAAAATTCTTGCACCTCCATGCATAAACTGTTAGTCAAGACTGACTTGGTGTGCTGCTACTGTATTTCATATAATTCTTTAATAATGATTGTATTAGTAGCAACTATGGTAAAGAAATGTTATTTCCCCTAGAAATAGTGAGTAAACAATATTAATTGCTTAACTTCTTTTCTGTTGATTAGTAAATGCAATAATTGTTTCTTATCGATGAGATGTGTCTAAACACTTCTGAAGATTTAAAATTCCCTAATTATGGCAGTGACCAGTTATATGAATGCAGAATATTATGTACCTTCATAGGATTTTGAGGTTTTCTTACTATGATTTGATGGGTTGAATTTATACTTGCTGCTGTTAATTAATAAAAATGATAGTTTGTTTTATCAACAAGAGTGAGTGTTCCATATCTCTCACTAGGCGATACTCCACATCATCTTTAACTCTACAATCAAAAAGGCAATAAATAAATGTGGGCCTTTGAGTTGGACTTTTATAACCAAGAACCAAATTTAAAAAAGAAAAGAAAAAAGAAACACTGCTAATAAGTGGTAAGGGAACTGAATAAGAAATGAAAACCAGTTAAAAAGATAAATCCCAAGAACAGATTAATGCACAAGTAAAAATCTCCTGATTTTTTCTAATATGCCAATTCTTTTTTAAACTATTCTTGAAAAGTGAAAATAAGATAACACAATTAATTTTATGGGTACAGCATTATCCTGATACTAATGTTAGACAATTTATTAAAATCATATGAAATTACAGGTTAATATCCCTGATTAAAATAGATGTTAACCCCTCAAAGAATAATAGAAGAAAGTTATATAATTGTACATTAAAAGATTATATAAATGCTCAAACCAATTAACATGATATATCACATTTAAACAAAAACATAATTAAGAAAGAATCTAAACAGATGTAGTGAAAACATTTCCAAAATTTGGCATATTTTCATGGCAAAAAAAAAATCTCATAATAAACTTAGTAAGTAGGATTTTAATTCAATATAATCAAATCAATATATGAAAAGTCCACAGCTAATATTATAGTCAACAATAAAAAAATAAAGCTTTTCTTCCAATATCAGGAGCAAGACATGGAGGCCTACCTTTATCACTTTTCTCCCATTTAATACTGGTAGTATAATTCAGAGAAATAGTGGAAGAAAAGGAATAAAAACATCTGCATTGTAAAGAAGTGAAAATACCTCTGTTTTCAAATGATTAATCTTACATGTAGATTCTTCCTAAAGAGTCTACAAATAATTTTGTCAAAATAATGAATCCAGTCAGTTTACAAGATATGAAATCAACAAACAAAATTCAGTTATATTTCATATGTCAACAATAAACACTAAAAGCAAATAAAAAAATAAATGTCATTTACAATAGCATAAAAACAGTAAGATAATTCAGAATTAACTTAGCTAAAATGTGAAAATTGTACACTGAAAACTATAAAACATTGATAAAGGAAATTAAAGCAGGCACAAATAAATAAACATCCTGTGATTTTGTGTTAAGAGTTGTTATGGTTAAAATATCTCTAACATCCAAAGTAACTTTTAAATTCAATAGTATCTTCTACACAATGCCAATGGCCTTTGCTACAGATGTAGCAAAGGTAATATTTATTTTTATACTAATTCATATAAAACCACAAAAGCCACAATTTGCCAAATTAATTTTGACAATGAATAATGTTGAAGGAGGCATCACAATTCTTGATTTCAAAATATACTACATAGTTTATTAAAATATTATTTTCCTTGCATAATGACAGACATATGTAACACTGAAACAGAGAACTTAGAAATAAAATACACATATATGCCAAGTGAACTTCACCAAAGTTTTCAAAAAGACACAAAGGGGAAAGGACAATATTTGTAACAAATGCTAATAAGAAAATTGAATATACACTAGTAAAAGAATAAAATTAAATTTTTATCTTACATCATAAAAAATCACATCAATAGACATTAAAGACTGATATATAATACCTGCACTGTAGGTCACCAAAAATTAACCACTGTAGAAATTAGGAGCTTTTTATCAGTAACTTTTCTTGGATATGATTTCTTGGTTATAAAACCAAAACCACAGACAACAAAAACTAAAATGGAGAAGTGGAACTAAAAAGCTTCTACACAGCAGAAGAAACAATCAAAACAATGAAAATGTAATTAACAAAATTAAAGAAAACAACTTCAAAACACATGCCCCAATAAAGGATYAATATCAAAAATGTATTTAAAATCTTTTAAATCTTTAAGAATAACAGCCACACAATAAAAACATGGGCCAAGCTCTCTTTTCTCCAACCTATGTATTTGGGCCCTTTGTCAAGAATCAAATGAACACATATGCATGGGTTTGTCTTTGTATCTTGTATTCTAGTCCATTGATTTCTGTGTACACTTTATGCTATTACCATGATTTTATTGTTGTTGTTTTGACTCTTCAGTGTAATTTAAAATGAGTATTGGGATTCCTCCAGCATATTTTTCTGCTTAAGATTTTTAGACTATTCTTSAGGATAACTTCAATTTAGATTGCCTGAGCTTCACTGTTCTCATTCTTCCATAGACGAGCTTGCCCAGGCTTGCAGTATTCTAAGGGTGAGGGTGAGAATTAAAGCCTGGGAAGACTTGACACAAACTTGAACTGATTCAACTTTAAGTTTCTTGAATCTTGTGGTTTAAACCTTGTCACCAGAGCATTTGGACTGGTTATTTCCACTACAAGAAACATTATTTGACAGACATACAAGAGAACTCAAAGTTTGTCGAAAGGATAATATAAATAAAGGACTTAATTGCTAAGTGGTGACATGGCTTCTTTCACTTAGCAAAATGTCTTCCAAATCCATTCATATAATCGTAAACGACAGGGAACCTCAGCAGTCATGGCCAACCAAGCGATCACGTCAACACTACCAGGTCCCTGGATCGGTGCCTGCAACTTTGCCACAGCCAAGTTTGGCTCGAGTTATTTAGTGCCCCATGCTGCATTGGCCAGAACTGCAGTCCTCCCATGAGTTGAAGCCAGGAGGGCTCTGAGTGCTCTCTTGGCTCCAAACAGCAAAAGGTGTGCATCAATTCCAACCGCTACCACCAGGGGACTCTGCGCTGCCTCCTGCGCTATGGCCGAGTCAGGGATCGTGGTCCCTAGCATCGCTGCCTGGGCAAAATCTGCAGCGCCTCCCTGCAATGGAATCTGCTTGTGCAACACAAGCCATCCTCCCATCCTCCAGGGAGCTCTGTTTCCTGCTCGACCTGTGTTGGCCAGGTGGCCTAGCCCCAATATCACAGGGCACAGCCCCGCCCTCGACTCACAGATGCCTGTAGGACATACGCATGGATGTGCGCACAGACGCACACACTGACGCACGCACTGAAACGAAGGGACCCACGCAGGGTCTCACCGCAAACTGCTTCTTCGCAGTGGGTTTCCAGCAGCCTAGAAGTGTCTGGAAGATGGTGGAGAAGCATGTGTCTTCAAGTCTTGAGGTTCTTCTTGCACAAGGCTGCCCAGGATGCTCCATTCCTGGCTACGCAGCTTTGCCACCCTCTGGTAAGATGTAGCAGCTGTCCTTACCACTTCAAGTTTCCTGGTGAGGATGTGAGGCCTCCCACTGGGACAGGCTGGTGCTCACCATTATGCTCCTATTGGCCMTTGTGGATCCAGGAGGAGAGCCTCAGGTTGGGAAAGTGCCAGTGTGTCCAGCAGTTTGTGGGGTGCAGCCCCGGCTGGAGTGGCATCCTGGGTCCAGAGCTGTGTGGGGTAGTGGATGGAGAGGAGGCACACTGTGTCTCTTCCTGCGAGGTGGTTCATGGAAAGGGCGACCTGCTGAGGCCTGTGGGGGATGGGACCCTGGCTGGAGAGTGCTTAGGGAACCAGGAGAAGGGTTGAGTAGGAGGTGGGTGAAGTAGGAGCTCCCTGGGGTAGGAGTGGGTGGGGAAGTGCAGGGGAGGTGACGTTCTGTGCCTGTCCCTGAGAGGCAGTGAATGAAGGGGTGACTAT